CAGCTCTAAGTTCTCCCAATCGATCTACTTGTGGTTAAAGTCACCCATGATCAGGAGCTTTGTCCTGCATGCATGAGCTCTTCTGGCCACTGCAGCCAGTGTGTCAACCATCGCTCTATTGCTCTCATCGTACTCTTGCCTTGGCCTCCTGCTGTTCTGTGGTGGGTTATACATCACTGCTATTACCACCTTGGGACCTCCAGAGTGAAGCGTTCCCGCTATGTAATCACTTTCTTCTCCGCTGTCTCCTCTCTCCAGCTCATCAAAATTCCATCAGTTTTTGATCAGCAATGCCACTCCTCCACCTCCCCTGTTCCCTCTGTCTTTCCTCAGGATCTGGTATCCCATTGGAAAGATGGCATCTGTTATCATACCTGTAAGCTTGGTTTCTATGAGAGCTATGATGTCCGGTGATGCCTCTTTGACTCTTTCGTGCCACTCCTCCCACTTATTTGTTATTCCATCAGCGTTTGTGTACCATACCTTCAGTTTCCTTTCCAACACTGTGGTTTGGGGGGCCTGTGAGGGTGGGAGACCTGGTAGCATATTGTGGGATTTTATAGCTCGGTGTTGGATGGAAGCTGTGGGTATGGATTGTAGTGTGTGTTGGGATGGTGTGATAGGTTGTGGGGTTCTGAGAATAGTTGTGTGTGTGCTTGCCCTTGCTGCTCTGTTCTGCTCTGACTGACCTCTGCTGGTTCCATCCTTGTCTCCTTTCCTAGCTCCTTTTGCTTTTTTGTCCTCTCCCTCATCTGCTGTCATTCTGTTTGTGTTCTGTCTCTGTCTAGGAACACCCTCTTGTACTCTTCCGAGTATTTCAACCGTGGTTTCTCTTGGAGGATCCTGTCCCGCACTGTTTCCGTCTTGAGAATCAGCTTGATCAGTCGGTCTCTCCATTTGGAGTATCCCCCTATTCTCTGAAAATTTACAATCTTGTCCATCTCTTCACCTATTTCTGTGATGATTTTCTCAATCTCCTTTCTTTCTTCCTGCCGCCTTTCAGTGTGTGTCCTGTCCTCTCTCTCCTAAAGCCCATGGATAAACACTGATTTTGCCCTTTCCTCCTCCCATTGCCTCACCCTCTGTGACTCTGGATCCTGCCTGTATGTGGTCATTTTCTCCTTTGATTTTTCCAGTGGCTCTTGATAGCATGGTTGTGCCTCAGCATTCGACCTATCACCCTCTCCATCAGCACCCAGCTGTTCTTCCCTTTCACTCCTTGGCCCTTCTTGGCAGGCTGATATGACCTTAGCATAATTCATATCTCCTTCCTTCCTGTTCGGCCTCTCAGCTTCATATGCTGTGTCTTCTCTGGTCACTGCCCCTGTAACTCGCTTCAGCCTATTTATCTCAACTTCTAGGACCCTTATCCTGGCTACTGCAGTTTCGACTTGTGCCTCCCAATTCTTTGTCTCATTCTCCAACCTCTTTTTCAATTTCACAGAGAGCTCTTTCTCCATTTTTTCAGAAAGCTCTCCTAATTTTTTCTCCCACTCTTGTTCCATCCTTTTCCACTGCTCCTCCATCCACTCCTCCCTACCAGAACCATTCTCATCTGATCCCTGGTTCCTGCGAGTGTGTGTGTGTGTGTGTGTGCTCACCTAATTGTGGTTGCAGGGGTCGAGACTCAGCTCCTGGCTCTGCCTCTTCACTGATCACTACTAGGTCCTCTCTCTCTCTGCTCTCTGAGCTTTGTCATACCTCGTCTTAAAGCTGTGTATGGTTCCTGCCTCCACTACATCACTTGCTAGGCTATTCCACTTCCTGACGACTCTATGACTGAAGAAATACTTCCTCACGTCCCTGTGACTCGTCTGAGTCTTCAGCTCCCAGTTGTGACCCCTTGTTTCTGTGTCCCCTCTCTGGAACATCCTGTTTCTGTCCACCTTATCTATTCCTGCAGTATCTTGTATGCCGTTATCATGTCTCCCCTGGCCTTTCTGTCCTCCAGTGTCGTCAGTCCGATTTCCCTAAACCTCTCATCGTAGGATATTTCCCTGAGCTCTGGAACTAGCCTTGCTGCAAACCTTTGTACTTTCTCTAACTTCTTGATGTGCTTGACCAGGTGTGGGTTCCAAACGGGTGCTGCATACTCCAGTATGGGCCTGACGTACACAGTGTACAGTGTCTTGAACGATTCCTTATTAAGGTATCGGAACCCTATTCTCAGGTTTGCCAGGCGCCCGTATGCTGCAGCAGTTATCTGGTTGATGTGTGCTTCCGGAGACGTGCTCGGTGTTATGGTCACCACAAGATCTTTCTCCTTGAGTGAGGTTTGCAGTCTTTGTCCACATAGCCTATACTCTGTCTGCAGTCTTCTTTGCCCTTCCCTAATCTTCATGACTTTGCATTTGGCAGGGTTAAATTCGAGAAGCCAGTTTCTGGACCACTGTCCAGTCTGTGTGTGTGTGTACTCACCTAATTGTGGTTGCAGGGGTCGAGACTCAGCTCCTGGCCCCGCCTCTTCACTGATCGCTACTGAGTCCTCTCTCTCTCTGCTTCCTGAGCTTTGTCATACCTTTTCTTAAAACTATGTATGGTTCCTGCCTCCATTACTTCACTTGCTAGGCTATTCCACTTGCTGACAACTCTATGACTGAAGAAATACTTCCTAACGTCCCTGTGACTCGTCTGAGTCTTCAGCTTCCAGTTGTGACCCCTTGTCCCTGTGTGTGTGTGTGTGTGTACTCACCTAGTTGTACTCACCTAGTTGAGGTTTCAGGGGTCGAGTCCAAGCTCCTGGCCCCGCCTCTTCACTGGTCGCTACTAGGCCACTCTCCATGAACCATGAGCTTTATCGTACCTCTGCTTAAAGCTATGTATGGATCCTGCCTCCACTACATCGCTTCCCAAACTATTCCACTTCCTGACTACTCTGTGGCTGAAGAAATACTTCCTAACATCCCTTTGATTCATCTGTGTCTTTAGCTTCCAACTGTGTCCCCGTGTTGCTGTGTCCAGTCTCTGGAACATCCTGTCTTTGTCCACCTTGTCAATTCCTCTCAGTATTTTGTAAGTCGTTATCATGTCCCCCCTATCTCTCCTGTCCTCCAGTGTCGTCAGGTTGATTTCCCTTAAGCTCTCCTCATAGGACATACCTCTTAACTCTGGGACTAGTCTTGTTGCAAACCTTTGCACTTTCTCTAGTTTCTTTACATGCTTGGCTAGGTGTGGGTTCCAAACTGGTGCCGCATACTCCAATATGGGCCTAACGTACACGGTGTACAGGGTCCTGAACGATTCCTTATTAAGATGTTGGAATGCTGTTCTGAGGTTTGCCAGGCGCCCATATGCTGCAGCAGTTATTTGGTTGATGTGTGTGTGTGTGTGTGTGTGTGTGTGTGTGTGTGTGTGTGCGCGCGTGTGTGCGTGCGTGTGTGTGTATATATACTCACCTAATTGTACTCACCTAATTGTGGTTGCAAGGGTCGAGACTCAGCTCCTGGCCCCGCCTCTTCACCGACCTCTACTAGGTCCTCTCTCCCCCTGCTCCATGAGCTTTATCATACCTCGTCTTAAAGCAGTATTTTGTATGTCGTTATCATGTCTCCCTTGACCCTCCTGTCCTCCAGTGTTGTCAGATCTTTCTTCATAGGATATTCCCCTTAGTTCTGGAACTAGCCTTGTTGCAAACCTTTGCACTTTCTCTAATTTCTTTACTCGTGTTTGACCAGATGTGGGTTCCAAACTGGTGCTGCATACTCCAGTATGGGCCTGACGTACACAGTGTATAAAGTCTTGAACGATTCCTTACTGAGGTACCGGAATGCTATTCTCAGGTTTGCCAAGCGCCTATATGCCGCAGCAGTTATCTGGTTATTGTGTGCTTCTGGCGATGTACTTCGTATTATACTCACTCCTAGGTTTTTCTCCTTGAGTGAGGTTTGCAGCCTTTTGCCTCCTAGCCTATATTCTGTCTGCGGTCTTCTTTGCCCTCCTCCGATCTTCATGACTTTGCATTTGGCGGGGTTAAATTCTAGGAGCCAGTTTCTGGACCACACATCCAGCCTGTCCAAGTCTCTTTGTAGACCTGTCTGGTCTGCGTCTGATTTAATTCTCCTCATTAACTTCACGTCATCTGCAAACAGGAACACTTCTGAGTCTATTCCTTTCGTCATTTCGTTCACATATACCAAGAATAGCACTGGTTCCAGGACTGACCCCTGTGGGACCCCGCTTGTCACTGGCACCCACTGTGATACCTCATCACGGACCATGACTCACTGTTGCCTCCCTGTTAGGTATTCTCTGATCCATTGCAGTGCTCTTCCTTTTTATACGTGCCTGTTCCTCTAGCTTCTGTACTAATCTCTTGTGAGGAACTGTGTTGAAGGCCTTCTTGCAGTCCAAGAAAATGCAATCAACCCACCCCTCCCTCTCATTTCTTACTTCATTTACTCTAGTAGGTTTGTGACACAGGATTTGCCTTCCGTGAATCCGTGCTGGCTGTCATTTATAATCTTGTTCCGCTCCAGGTGCTCCACCACTCTCCTGATAATCTTTTCCAAGACTTTGCATACTATACATGTCAGTGACACTGGTCTATAATTTAGTGCTTCATTTCTGTCTCCCTTCTTAAAGATGGGGACTACATTTGCCTTCTTCCATACTTCAGGTAGTTGCCCAGTTTCAAGGGAAGTGTTGAAGATTTTGGTTAGTGGCACACGTAGTGTCCCTGCTCCCTCTCTAAGGACATCACGGACCATGACTCGCTGTTGCCTGCCTGTTAGATATGTGTGTGTGTGTGTGTGTGTGTGTGTGTGTGTGTGTGTGTGTGTGTGTGTATGTGTGTGTGTGTGTGTGTGTGTGTGTGTGTGTGTGTGTGTGTGTGTGTGTGTGTGTGTATGTATGTATGTATGTATGTATGTATGTACGTATATGAGAGAACTGTCATACCCATTTAGTTACAGAAGTGTCATAACTATTTATAGGCAGTTTTCCTATCATTATAAACACTCACTGCACTTACATCTGGTTAGTGACTAAAGGTTTATCCACAGGTGCCTTTCTCATCCCATACTTTCTAATGATGTTCTTGTGTGGCATCCCACTGCTATTGATGGAACTGACTGTAGGCCAGTACACACGAAGAGGACCTATTGCTGCATTAGAGAAGATATGCCCTATTTTCAAAGGTTATTATCTTTTTTGAGGTAGTGTTTCTGTTTTCTTTTTAAGTTTATATGTGTGTGCTTGTAATACCAGTTTGTGCCGAAAATATCCCATCTATAATGTATTTAATTTTGATGTATTTTATATATTTTTATTTGTTTTTTCTCACTGTTTCTGGTTTCAGTAAGTTTCATTTTGCCTGTTGTCTCATATTCTTTAATGAACTTGTAGCTCTCATATATTCTCTTTTTCTTTACTCCTTATTTTGATAGGGTATTTCCAATGCCTTCATAATTCATTTACACATCTTAATTTTGTATTTATATTAATTATTGCCATTTCTGGTCCTTGTTTGTATTGATAAGTTTTATTAAAACTAGTCCAACAATAAGGAACTAAAATCCAAAAATTGAAAGTTTTTGGTTACACTTCATTATCACAGACAACCCTGCTGGCAGATACTGCACATTTTCCTCATGTTGTTGAATGTAATTCTTTAGATGATAATATTTCTGCTGCAGCTGCTTCACAAGCAAGGGCAACTCTTGCATAATTGATTCTGTATTCCTCTCATTTGCTGAAGTCAGACCTGGGTCAGCTGAGACTGTGGCCAGGTCCACGATCTGGAGGGGAAAGCACTGATGCCAGGTTCTCCTGTCACAGGACCAGCGATCTGTCCCAAATCAGCTGGCAACATAGTGTCAACACAATTGTTATGGTGTGGTATACAAACAGACTCCCACCTCCTGACCTACACAGTTATAGAGCTTATGATCCTCCCTGTATCATCAGCCTGTTTGCTGACACCCATATAATCAGACCCACATACAGGTGATGCTGAAAGAGCTGCCTTTAGTATGATCTAAGGCAGCATGCTGCATACCTCATTCCTGGTCCTGGGGGATATAGGTGATGGTTGGTGGGTTGTGGGTCCCAGAGTTGCCAGTAGAATTGTGGGCAGGCCACTTTCTGCAGTCAAGATGTGGCATTTTCTCTGCATCTCACATTCGCTCACAGTTGACACATTTCATAGAGACTTACTGGTGTTTTCCTAACAGGTTATAATACTGCTGGGATGGATGGACCTTAGAGCACACTTCACACCAGTTTGAAGGGTGGGGCATCTCTTAACAGTGTGATCCCATTGTGGACATTTATAGCATCTACAAGGAAATGGTCTGTACAGGGAGATTTTGAAACAACCTGTTGAAGTGTCAACAGGCCATGTTGCCAAACTCTGTTGAAGGCAACAGAGTTTGGCAATATGGCCTGACACCAGACATTTTGGATCCAAGCACTTGACATTATAGATGACAATATGAACTTAATGTCATACCCTTGGGAAAGGTACTTGATGTTGCCATAGTTAGTGGTGTATAAGAAATAAACAATACTCAGTCACACCAGTATATCATTCAGTATCAGGAATGTAGTATAAGGGAGCACAATAGTAAGAATTTTAATTAATAATTACAAATAATTACAATAATGATTTTTTTTAGTGTACATACAGTAAACATTACATTGAGTGGGTTTGCCTTTTATAAAATGTCCAAAGCTGTGCACAGCATTTTTGGGCAGATTTACTCATACAGTATTGCCTTATGAGTCACAGAGGATGCACATTGCACAAGCAATCTATCTTAGCCAGTGACTTTTCTTCTACTACAGTAAATCCACATGAGCCATATCTTCGCAGGTGCTGGAGTGGGTACTGTGGTGATATCTTTCTTGCTGTGTACATACTATAACGTCATCATTGCGTGGGTAATATTCTATCTTGTGCAATCATTTTATGCTGAATTACCATGGAGTCATTGCAATACTACATGGGCTGTCAACTGCTTTGATGATTATGGTCCAGGCATTAAAGCACCAAATGGAACTAAATCTGCAACAGAAGAATTTTTTGAGTTAGTATTTGACTTGTAGCTGTTCACTACAGTACTGTACATATTTTCAGTTTATCTCTGATGTAATATTTTATCCATACAGTTAATGTATTTGAATATTCTTATTATGAGGCCTAAAATAATCTAATGCTCAAAAATATAGTACATGAAGTTGTATTCTCTCTTGCTAATTATTCATTATATTTTTGAAATAGTGAAGTGGTTCTACAAAAGAGTGAAGGAATAAATGACATGGGGTCCATAAGGTTCGAGATACTTTTGGCACTGTTTAGTGCGTGGATGCTTGTCTACTTCTCACTTTGGAAGTCTGTCAAGTCTTCAGGACGTGTGAGTATGACAGTTTCATTACTGTTCCTGAAAGTGTATGGATTTTTGCTTTTGAATAAAATTATAATTATTATATGTTTCTGAAGTGCAGTGTAAGTATTTTCAAACAAAATGAATTTCTTGTTTATATTTTTACCAGGACTCTGTTTTAGGATTGCAGTAAATATAAGTACAGGTATCTATCTATCATTGTTATTTGCTGTTACTGAACAGTGACATTTGTGTATTAACATTAGATTCATATCTTGCTACACTCAGAAGTCTCTCTCCATTCTTTTGAATGTAAATTTCCTATCCACTTTTTTTATCTTCTTTTCCTTTCATTCAATATCTCAACATTTGCATCTTGAACTGATGTTGCTCCATTTTATAAAATAATTGACAAGTCTTAGTGCACAGTGATTGTTCTTTTATCCAAACTAAAGAGGGCTTATAGTCTTTTGATCTAAATATCCTTGTTTATGAAAATATTTTTGTAGCTAGTTAAGTAGATCATGTAATTGTGGTCATTTTGATATGGAACATCAATGCATTTTATCCCAGAATTTATTAACTAATTTCCACTATACAATCTTGAGCCCACCATTTATAAAATAAACATACACAAAAATTACTGCATTTGATAAAAAAAAAAAAATCTGTACAATAATGAAAGTAAAGTTTTTGAACATTTTATACACAATACAGTAGTACATATTGTATTTCTCTGTAATTACCAGTGCAAGCTTGGTAAACCCCTTTCAAAAGTCATTTCTGCTACAAGCTTGGTAAACCCCTTTTAAAAGTCACACAGTTCTGTTATAAGCTTGGTAAACCCCTTTTGAAACTCACTTAATTCTGCTGCAAGCTAGGTAAATCCCTTTCAAAAGTCACTTAATTGTGCTACCAGCTTGGTAAACCCTTTATAGAAGTCATTTAATTCTGCTGAAAGCTTGGTAAACCCTTCAACAAGTCACTGGTGAAGTTATACAGTGGCAAACAATGTGCACTGTATGTACAACCTCCACTCTCCACTAAGCAAAAGAGTTTTTATACTGTATTAAGAGTTCTTGACAAATTTCGGTATGAACATATAGCTTACTCATTCAGTTAACATACTGTATATGAAAAATCAGCACTTTTGATAAAAAGAGAAGTAAAATTAGGCTAGTTTTGTGATAAATTTAAAGTATACTTTTTTTTTCAGTAAACTGGCCGTATCCCACTGAGGCAGGGTGACCTAAAAGGAAAATGAAAGTTTCTGTTTTTAAATATAATACTGTATACAGGAGAAAGGGTTACTAGCCCCTTGCTCCTGACGTTTTAGTTGCCTCTTACGACACCCTTGGCTTACGGAGGATGAATTTTTTTCTACTTCCACATGGAGAATAACAATACAAAATCACATTAAATGCTAAACCTGAGATGGGTCATAGAGAGTTGCAGTAATGTAAATTACAAAAAAAGGGTAAAAGAGACATCAGGGAAACTAAAATAATTAATCTATATATATATTTTCAGGTGGTATATGTGACAGCAACTCTTCCCTACTTGCTAATTGGGGCATTCCTCTGGCGAGCATTGACATTACCAGGTGCTAATAAAGGTCTTCAGTACTTTTTTGAACCTCGATGGGAGCTCCTACTGCAAGCTCAGGTAAAATAAGCTAATTTCTTGTCACAAAAGTATCAGTACCATTTAGTAAGGATTTATGTAGGGAGCTCTGCCCCTCATCCTGTTTAATTTGCATAATCTTGCTGACATGTTGGCAGGATTTGAGGCTAACTCTCAGAAAAAAATACTGATTTTAAAACTAAAATTGAGAAAATGCCTAGGTATACAAATGACATATCAGGAGTTTAAGAGAGATGTGAACAAATAAGTAGTAGTGTATATTTAAAACATTTAGCTGGCTTTCATTTTCAGTAGATAAAGATCACCCCTAGCTGAGTACATAATGCTAACTCCAGTTTGCTGATGACCACCTGTGTGTATGTAAACCCTGTCTCACAATATATGTTTTTACTTTATATTTTTTTTCTCCTCCCCATCATTTTTCATTATGATTCCCCCCAAATTATGAATAATACTGGAAGCCAGAAATAGGAGGTAAGAACCTTTGCTGATATTCAAGATAGCATTGAAATAGTAATGGTGGTTGTGGCAACAATAGGAGGGTTGTGGTAGCAAACTGTTCCTTGTAGTGTTATAACTGTGATAAAAAGTTAAAGGATTAAACTGCCTTCAATTCTCTTAAAGTAAATCCAAACAGCTACATCTGTTTTCAGTAATTGCTCAAACATTGGATTTTGACATCACCTAGTTAGGCTCATTACATACCCCTTTCCCCTTTCAATCATCACTTTGTAGCATCTTAGTGGACATACAAGCTGGATTTAATTGCAAAATAGCAAAAGAATATTCTGTTATCTTGATAGTAACTTGATTATTGGTCTTAGACAGTGTTTTTTGGCTGGAAATTTATTTCAAATAGTCCATTCGCATTTAGATAACAGAACATGTGTTATGTGCTTTCTTTATTTTAGGTGTGGGTAAATGCAGCTGCCCAAAACTTCAACAGTATAGGCATTGCATTTGGATCAATGATAGCATTAGCATCATACAACAAGTTCAATAACAACATAGTGATAGACACCTGGGCAATCAGCATCACAAACTCAATGACATCGCTGATGGCCGGTATGATTGTCTTCTCTACACTAGGCAACATTGCTCTGGAGCAAGGGAAAGAAATTGATGATGTTGTTGCAGAAGGTAGGTCAAGAGATTACCAAACTGTTATTAAATAATTTAGGTACAGTACTTACTAATTATAAATTGTTGTAGCCCAAATCATGTGGTTAGTCTTGTTTAAATATTCAGATATTGGCAAAGTTGCAATGGTTTCACTATTGTAGACATAAAGATTGTCATATCTTCTTTTATTGAATTTTATAACTGTTAAGGCATTTCCAAGTCAGGACATTATGAATCATGTTGAAATATAAATGGCAATTTATTTATTTTTAATTTGTACATGCATTCATTATCTTCTTACCTTTACCTTCTTGTGTTTCTTTAATACAGTATTTCTTAATCTTGTTTATCTTTCCTTTTCTTTCCACTTGGCCTGTCAAAAAGTAGGTTGGCACTTTCCGCCATAGCTTGTCATAGGTGACTAAAATAACTGGAATGAGAAGTTGAATACTGTACTGTACATCTTTTGTTGCATGTTCAGTAATAAGAAGAATAATGAAATTTTTAAATTGGGTTGTTTGAATTTAGTATGATTGTTAAGAAATCAATGAATGTGTATGTTACGAATTAACAAAAGGTGGCTGTCACTGCACTTAATGAAAAATGTTAAAATGGGCCAGAATCTCAATGGAAAAAAGTTAAAAGGAATTCACTCAACTATACCTTAGATAGATCTACAACAGATATGATGATATTGTTGAATTAGTATTGACATAAAGGAAAGAATGGATATAAATGTTTAAATCAAGATTTATGTAATATACTGTACTTTAAAATATGTTCATTCACTTGGAGGGGCAAGAGGAGAGATTGTGGGAAGTGTTAGGTACATATATGCTTAAGGAATTTTGAGCCAAATAAGAGAAAAGTGTTGGGAGATTATTGTGGAATGTATAGTAAAAAAGTTTTTGAGTGCTTGTTGTACATGACAGCAGTGAACCTTTGGCTGGCGTGCTCTTACCAAAAAGTTTAGTATGTAATAGAAAAGAAATAATAAATAAATATATAAGGTATGAAGAAGTACATTACAACAGCATTCTGCCAGAATATGTGCTCGATAATAAAAGGTTAAATGGTAGGCATTAGAATGTCAAGAGTATTTTAAAGAAACAGTTGGAGTGCTGGTGTCTTCTTTTTTGTCTCATAAACAGTGGGAGACAGCTGAAGTTTAAAAAAAAAAGAAAAAAAATATATTACTCCCTGGCAACCCTCCAATATCAACAAGGTATTTTCCAGCAACAACAAAAAAATACAGTATCTTCCACAGACTAGAGCCCAAATAGGCTTATGGGTCTATTAGGCATTAGTGGGCTGCATATGCCACTGGTATACCAGACCAAGGCTCTTGAGGTCTCGCACTATTCTGTATATTCTCCAGAGAAAAGTAGTTTTTACATGTCAGGCCAAGAATTCTACACTCAAAGACTGTTGTGTTGAATAGGCCTGAACAAGTGGTCAGTGGAGGCAGTATTTAACTAATGCCTAGGTACACCACAAACAATCTTTTGAAATTGTAGTGTAGTAATGGTACTGATTACGAGTAATTTGTTATTTGTGATCATTGTTTAATTATTAAACATTTAGTGATTGGTGGACCAGTGTCAGTTTACAGAAAATGTTGACAGTTTAATCACAGATTAGAACAGTATTTTGGTATTAATATTATTAGAAGGTACAGTGCATTATCGTTTGAGTGACTTAACTGAAAATCTTGAAAAAAAAAAATTACATTATTTATAGAAATACTCTATGTTTTTTGGGGGGCCGGACTAGTGTTCAGGTGACCCACAACCTTGCAAAGATGCCATACAAATTTTTGGGGGCCACCCCTTTTTTTAAAAATGCAAACTTATTCTAGGCCTTGTTTTTCACATTTTGGGGCTTCTTTTAGGGGTTTTTTTTTTAGTTCTCTCTCATTTACTTTTTTTTCATTTGATTTCTGTTTCCCTTTAAAATGAAATGTTTTATACATACAAGGAACCGAAAAACTGTTCTTATTGTTCAAAAATATACATGATTGCATACGTATACTTTTAAGGGAGTTTGCAAAGCATCGCATAAAAGATTTTTCTTTAAAAACATTTAAAACAAACACTACTTGCTTTTTTCATTGAGTCCTCCAAATTTGGTGGGGGAAAAGAGAAAAATAATTTTTTTCAAATCACTTGAAAAAGTATTCCTTTTAAAAATTGTTAATGGACAAAAACCCCATGTTATGGGTTTGCATTGAGGGTTTTTTTTTTTAGTCATTTAACAAAAGGGGGGGTCCTGTTGGGGTTGTTTTTTTTGGTTTGTTCCCTCACTTGGGTAAAATTTTCCTTTTTTCCTTTTTGCTTATTTTTCCCATTAACTTTAAAAACGAAACTTTGAATAATAATTTACTTAAAGATTAATTTTTTGGGGAGCTTAAAAAAAAAGTCAATAAAAAATTTTTGTGTTAAAGGGTTTGGGCTACACCTATGTATGAACATTTAGGCAGGAGTGAGTGGAGACAAGGTTTTTGGGAAAATAGGGGCTGTTGGGTTGAGTAGGGTAATATTTTTTTAGAGATTCGGGAAATTAGTAAGTCGATTGAGTCCTAATGGGAAATAAAATCCCAAACATTTAACCCTTTCGGGGGTCCAAGGCCAAAATCTGAATCACGCACCATGTCCAAAAAATTTTTTAAAAAAAAAAAAAAAATTTTTTTTCTTACAAAATTTAAAAGAGCATATTTTTTGTGAAGGTAATAAAACAAAAAAAATTAGAATCTGATCATACTTACCAGATACAGTCCAAAAAGTTTGTAGAAAATGAGTGGTGGCGGCAACACGACGAATTCCACATACGCTTAAATATTTTTTTGTTGTTTGTTTTTTTTTCTTTTCTTTTTCCAAATTTTTTTTCTATTCCATAAATTTGGGGCCCTAGAGACCAATACGTATAAATTTTATATATAAAACCACTGTATTGAACAAAAAACCGCACTAAATTTTATTACATATTATTTTTTACCCTGTTGTTTTTTTACAATAAACATGCACAAATATTGTATAATACTAATGTTCTACAAAATTTTTTACATTTTTACAATCACGGACAGGGGTTTTTAGAACGCTGGAGCTTGGGGAAACTCCTTGAAAAAAGGCACCATGCACAGAGGCACCTTACATTCCTACACAAAAACCGATGTCTTTGCTTTTTGTTGCCTCGTTTTGTTTGTGCACAACAATGCTCTCTTCTGAGCAAATTTTTTTTTGAGTTAAGGGAAGCTGTATTATAAAATGACCCTTCTCTTCTCAAACCTGGGTATATTGTGATGAATTCGGGGACCATGTTGTATTGCAGGTGTTGTTACCTGGTACTTCATTATGAGTTGCCCCTGACAACAACAAAAAAAATTTCACCATACGGTGGTCTTTACCAGTCTTTTTTTGGTCATATTATACATTCAGCATTGAAATGTCCATGAATGGAAGAAAATTTTTCATGACCACTTGTAACTTTTACAACCATCAACAAAACCATCTGCAGTAAAACCTTGTCAACCAACGCATGTTTTGAAAAATAATCACGTCACGGGTTTTCGAATACGTTCATTAGCCCCACTCGATCAACTTTCCCACTGTCTTGCATTTTTTAGGGGAAATGGTTTTGTCAACAATTGACACTCTTTGTCATCCACCGAAATGCCATGATGTCTTTGGGCAGTAAACACCTGCACGTCATCACCACGAACACCTCGTTGAGCCTGGCATATGTTTACGATTAGAACGCACTGGCCACACACATCTGTCTTGTTCACTCGCAGAAATCACGAGTAAGGGGTTGTGTCCCAGTTTATCGGTATATAATGTAGGGCCCTTACCAAGAAAGGTCCATCATTTTTTCTCACTACGTCACCGATATACCCAATAACATTTTGGGTATTTTTCCCAATTTTTTACTACCCGTGATACAACAATATCCAACACCGGGCCATGTCACAATCACAGAGTACAAAAAAATTTTTATACCAAAGGGGTTCCTCTTGCTCGGTATATACTGCTTGAATGACAGTCACCTTTGAACAAAATAAAAGACCGTAAATTACAAGATTTTTGAATGGATAAAAGTACATCCTGAACTTTTGGAATCATAAAAAACATTTCAAACTTGTAAAACCCTGTCCACTTCTGTCAGGCCGGGTTTTTTGTCAAGAAGTGCAACAACGAAGAGAAAGATAAACCTTTTCACGGGGTATTATTTCACTGAAGGATGGGGTAAAATTACCATCTGGGACCATATGCTTTTATATTAGCTTATAGACGGAGGCATAAGCATTATTGTTGCAAAAAGCAAATACATTTCTGCAACGTCGTTCTTTTCCCCTGTGTATCTTGACTGTGGGGATAAATCGTTTTGCCATGGGGTTTCTGAAAAACTTATACTTTTTCCCGCAAAAGTTTCCATCAATGGCTGGTCAAAGAATAATTCAAAAATTCCAGTTCATTGCCTGGTTCCAAGGGACAGGGATAGAATTCACTTTTCAGTCATCAAAGTGGGGAGGGCTGGGAACAAAATTGGGATTTGCTGCCAATCCCAAACGGGTTTTCTGGTGGAACGGGCATCATAGCTGGTTTTACGGTGGTTGTGGCGGGGTGGGGGGGTGACGCTCCGCTTTGTCCTTGAACTGACGATCAGCAGCGTGGTTCCCGCGTGGCACAGCAGTCACGCATGGGGGTGCCACTACCCCCACCAGCCCCCCCCAACACATCCACTGAGTCTGTGGCCCATCCATCCAATGTAGCCACATCATCCTCACTACACTACCTAAAATGGGGTAGGGCCACGGGATGTACCCGGGATGTACTACGGGATGTACCCGCCCCTGGCATAGCATAGGGTACACTACCTAGCGCATGCGGGGGCGCACATACCGACGCTTTTACTGGTGAATATGTTTTCCTCACTAACAAACCCAATGAAACGTCGAGCGCAAAAAAATCACAATCCACGTCAGAAAACATCGTCATTACTGAAGTCAGGGCCAGGGCCCCGGAAAAATTAGTTTTCTCTTACTTTTGGAAAAACCCACCGGATCCAGTGC